TTAACTTTTACACTATAATGCAGTCAATGTATTTATAGTTCTTGAAAATGTCACATGGCAATGTTATGCCAGGGACAGCACATTTCAGAGACTCCTTAAGATGTCTGCATTGTTGTATTCTATTTGTAGAGGCATTTTTGTCAGCAGCAATGAAGAAACAGAGGTGCTGCTGCAGCTCTTTCAATAACATTCAAGCTTATAGTTGACCCGAGGGGCTCACATTATGACATCCATATTTAATTTAACAATAAATCATATTTTCATGGAGTACAGTATTGCATTATAACCTCACTGTTTTATGTGCATGGGAATGCAGCAAAAGCAGGCTTGTACGTATCTACAACACAGCCTAAATGGTTAGTACATGAGAGCAAGGTCAAAGTGTACAGTGATGACAATATATAAAAGGTTTTGTAACAACTCTAAGTCTGAGGGGAAAAAAGGACAAAAAAAGATGTCCAGAAGGGACTGCATTTAACTTAAGGTGCATTTTTCTAAAATCCTCTTAACTGCACCACCTTGCTTACTGTCAGTTTTAGTTCTGCTCTGCACTTCCCATTGCAGTTAGCATTCTCTGTATCTCATTTTCTCTTCTGCTTCATTCAAGCATATTTTAGGAGAAAATTAACATCATCTGAATCTTAAGCTTTACCCATCCCTATTTCATCACAGTTTCTCCTATTTGCCCTGCATTTTTTACTGTTGACCTTCTATCTGACTCCAAATTAAATGTTCATGTTTTCTTTTCACTCCCAAATCTAGTCCTGCTTGTTCACATTTATTCTTGTTCATCTCCCTCTTATCTGCTTCTGCCCATATCACATAACATCATCCTCAACTTCTTTACTTTCTATTCCTACTAACTTCAACTCTCTTTCCAGTGCCTACTTCTTGCAGCCCTCTGCAACCTAAAATGCATTTAATTCATTCTTTCCTCCCCATTAGCATTATTAATAATCTTCTACCAGCCAGATTATGGAATAACTTCATTGTTCTTCTCTATCAGCTACCTCTGGTGATAGTTTACCCAGATAGTTTATTTGCACCGCTCTCCTCCATAGACTTTATGAAAGTCTATTATCTCTTTTAGAAGGTTCCACTTTTCAAAAATAAGTAGATTCAATTACCTATTTATTGGCAGCCTTGATCTTTGGTCTAGATGTCATCCTTAACATACCTTACATAAAATTAAGGAAGAGTAACTGTAGTAAAAAGCATTTCACTACTCTGATCCATGTTCTCTTTTTGCCTCTCATCTCTTCATGCATTGTATCTAAATTAGATTTTCAGTTCCTTGGGGTAAGAAGACATCATTTTCATTTATCTGTAAAGCACCGTGCATGCTTATGGCTCTGTAGAGATGCTAAATATGTATATCCACATTTATTAAAATATTGATGTTTTTATCTATTCATATAGTGCAGAAACAACATGGCAGCAGTTCTACCCATTTAAAAACTATTTTCCATCTATAATAACTATAATGTGATATATTTATAGTAGCTGCATGCTGTTCACTCTCTATTTCCTAGTTCATATTTACATTGCTCTTTCTGGTCTTATAAACCAACACTGCTTAAAAAATAAAAATCTCAATTGTTTCTGACAGCATCAAAATCTTTTCCTAAAAATACAGCATGCGGGTAACATACAGTGGTTTTATTACCTATCCATACTGCGTGATCACAGTTTTAGTGGGTGAAGGTTGCTATACCAACCTGGGACTGCTCCTGCCCTCCAAAATCTTGTAATTTAAATAGTCCTGATGATAGCACAAATTTTAGGAATTTTGGTCTAGCATTCTTTCTGCCTAGCTTGAGAGGCATTGAAGTATCTGATTTTCAGTATAGTATAGCTTTTTCTAAAACACAATGTCTTGAAAAGAGATGCTTCTTATTATTTTGGAAGTTTTCACTGACAAAATTAACATAATTAGTGCAAGCAAGTATTCTAAAAGCTAGGAGGGTTTTTAATGCAAAAAGATAAAATGAGGATACTATCAATCCAATTATAACAAAAATATTTCTATTAATAAATGTAGTAACAGGATGTAGATATACTCTTCTTTGTAGTCAAGCATATTTATTTCTTGGTTAGACAAAAGAGAAAGTAGGCATGCTCAAATCCCACAGCAGAATCCACATAGGCCCCTATCATGACCCAGAGCTCGTTGCATGGATGAGCCTATACTAATAATTTCAAAAGTTAGCTCAAAAATAAGGAATTATTGTAGAATAGACACTGTAGGCAGAGCAATTAAACTGTTCTGCTTCACATAACACTTAAGAAATGGTTAAGCATTTAAGCACTGGATAAAATGAACATCTTCGAATATCCTGCTTTGCAGGACATCTGAGCCGAAAAGTTGAAACAAGTTGCTTATAAGTAAGTGTTCTGGTTTCTGCTGGGACAGAGTTAGTTCTTCTTTTTAGCAGCTAGAAGAGCTCTGTGGTTTGGATTTAGTATGGGATTTGTTATGAGAAGAATGTTGATAGCGCACTGATGTTTACAGTTGGCACTGAGACATCGATGACTTTTCAGCTTCCCGTGTTTTGCCAGTGTGCAGGAGCACAACAGGCTGAGGGCAGCATGGCTGGAATAAAGGACCAACAACTTCTAATCTACAATTTGAATTTAGATTTAGGATTGAGATCCAAATTGTCCAATGAATACTCCATATGATGCAACGTCATGCTCAGTACATAGATGAGGGTTGACCGGAAAGTTTGCAATTCTCTTGGAATCTCAGACTCCTGGACTCTCTGAGTCCCATCTCTCTCTCATCCTCTTTTCCAGCCTCTTGCTCATCTGGGACTGTGGTGTCTGGACTTCTCTGTTTTGGGATCCCTTGCTGGGACAGGGCAGGCATTTGTCTCTGGGTGGTGAGCAATTACACTGTACATCACTTGTTTACACATATTATTATTATTTTTATAGAATCATAGAATCATAGAATGGTTAGAGTTGGAAGGGACCTCAAAGATCATCTAGTTCCAACGCCCCTGCCATGGGCAGGGAAACCCTCCACTACACTACTATATTTTTAGATATAAAGATACAAAAATATTATTAATAATGATTATTAATCATTACGCATTTAATTTTATATTAATATTATTATTATTAAATTGTTCCTATCTCATTCCATGAGTCTCCTTCCCTTTAATTCTCTTCCCCATTACTCCAGGGGTAGGGGAGGGTGAGTGAGCAGCTGTGTGACGTTTAGTCAGCAGCCAGGTTAAACCATGACAGTGTGTCAGTACATGTAGAGTGGTCTTAACAAACTGTTTACTCAGAGTAGCAGGAGAGAAGTTACACAGGAGTAATGTTACTAGCATTTCTTCACAGAGTACCTTACAGATGACAGATTTAATATTTATATTATCTTTTCATACAGGGACCTTTTTCAGCCAGTGTTCCACCATGCTTTTTATTGGATAAAATGATAAATATCAGTCCAACTTAATGTCAAACTGCATATATAACTAAATCTGTGTAAGGTTGCACTGATTACAGTCAGATCACATACACGTCGAACAGCTGTGTTGGACTGAACAAATGGCAAATGTTCATTTTACCCAACACTTGATGTCTCCCATATAAGCATCTACCTCAGAGCTAGTCCCCTTCATTTCCTTACTATGCATGAAGAGAATGGTGGCAACAAATGAACTAAGGTGTGATTCACCAGACCGACCCTAAACGTTTATTTCAGCATAAGCCATTGTATATTGTAAACCAACTAGATTCGGTCAACAAATTCCATGTCATCGAACAGTGAGAACTGAATGTTTATTAATTTCTTTACATCTTCAGAGAAAGTCAAATCCAGATATCATGTCTACAAGCTTACAAGTAAACAAAACTCCTTGACAAAACTGTTGTCCGTTGCCAACTATCGCTCTCCAGACGTGGCAAGGGGCCACATATGGCACAGTCCAGCAAGTGCTCTCCAAAGGCAGCTAGAAGATAACCTGCTTGCTTCAGATAGAAGCAGGCCCTATTAATTGGTTTTAGTGCAAGAAAATGGTCCTTTGCATCTTCTACTTGAAGGAAAAAAGTTAATTGGCATGGATGACAAGTCAAAGTAGCAACTTTAAAGGAAAGGGAAGAAGAGGTAGCTTTTAAATGAATATTTTAATGAAAGTAAGGATAAAATACGGAGTATAACCATAGTAAAAGTAAAAAAGAAGCATGAAGATGGAAGAATGGCTACAAAAAACTATTAAACTATGATAATAGGACATTCATGACAGTAATCACTTTGGACAAATGTAACAGGGATACTAGCTGTTATCTAAATGAACTGGCATTTTAAAATATAGTTCACTTGATACATAGTAAGAAGATCTACTCCCTGTAAACTACCTCAGAGAATACTACCAACAGAAGGAAGGTAGGGAAGGAATTTCCGGAAGATTGGAAATTGGACCAACTTTGTTTCTATCAAAACTAATAGTAAAGCATCTTTTAAAAAAGCACAGCTTCACTAGTGCTGAACACTTTTGGCCATCCTGACATGAAAGCAGAAGTTGAGCTATAATGACTTAATGGCCCTGTACAGGAACGAATTATTATACGGATCCCATTGCGTATAGGAAGTTGTATTCTGCAAGGATATTATGAGCTGTAAGGGTCAGGTTTTCAGGTGCACTCAACTTTACATCCTTTGCAATGAGAAGTATGAATGATGAGCACTTTTGAAGATCAATGTGGTTGCTTTGCTCGACGAAGAACTATGACTCTACAAAACTGAGTTTAGAAATAATGTATGTATGGAGCATCTTTTAATCTGTTTCCACCCCAAGATGCAGGAGCAAAATTAAAACTACTTGCTTTCCTTTCAGCTAAACAGATTTTTTTTTTCTAATCACATCACTTTACTCTGATTTACATCATTTTTAACTTCCAGAATCATTGGTCATTGCTGAATGCAAATAAGCACCAAGTAAAATTATATTAAGTTTGCACAATTGATCTTTCATCATTTTAAATGGTACTTTTTAAAATTTCCTGTAAAATCAGCCTGAAATACTCCCATCGTTGACTGTCATCAAGTAGAGCAGGGTCACTTTGGGAAAACCCATTCTCACTGATGTAAATTATAGGGTTATTACATGTATCCTAGAACAAGAGAGCAGAAGTTTTACTCAGAACAGATGTAAGAAAGCCCATAAAATCAGATGCATTACCCTCTATCTTTTCTAAGCTACAAACTAAAACTAGTTTTCATCAAATTGCACTGACCCTATTAACTTAATTTTCCATGAGCTGACCTTTTATGACTAACAATGGAAAAGCAAAACTGTGCAAATATCCATGAAGACAGTGAAATGACTTATTTTAATGAGAAGACTAAAATATCTTTCCTGTATTAGCATCTGCTTATTGTCACTGCTCCTTAACCCCTTGGTACTGGCAGTCACTACATGTCTGACTGCCAGGAGCAGATGCATGCCAGGAAAGCCTTACTGCTGGCATCAGAAAGATCATTTCTGGAGTTCAAAAGATGATACAACACTGGTGTGTCATTTCAAACTGTAAAATAGCTATCAAGTACAAAGGCAATAGGAAAACACTAAGGCTTCTACTCTTTAGAGCCAGCATGCAAAAATTAAATTAAGAATCCCAAGGTGACTTGTTTATTTTTATCTTGTACAGTGTCTGATGCCATCCAGATGGGCTCCTCAAAAAAACTCAAATCACTAGTATTACTCATTGGATTCTCAGATCCCTTCACTGATCAGCTAGTAGTGGTAAAATGGTCCTATGAGCCTTAGGTCATTCCTTGATATAACACACAAGTCAGTGTAAACCCCACGGTACTACAGCCAGCCAAACTCCCAGTTGCCACAGGCGGAGAAGGATCCATTATTTGCTCAGCTTCACGGTCCACTGAAACCCTTAGCTGCTTGTCTACATTTTCTTGGTCTTAAGTGTAACAGTTCAGAGCAAAGAAGTCAGCCGTACCCATGATCATTGTTTTTTCTTTTTTAGTAAATTCCGGAAGCCTTGGATTATAAGTAATCCTGCTTTGAATGCACTGCAGAAATCCAGGACTTCATGATGACTGGATATTCAACATCAGTAAATATTATCCTGACAAACTCGTCTAGGGTAAAGGGCAGGCATCTTTTAGTTGCTTTTTGATCTGCTACAGTATTCATAGAGGTTCTACCAATCTGAGTTCAGAGCTATGGACACAAGTCCACGTTGTTTTCTCTGAATATCTTATTGCAACTGTGTCAGGCTTTAGCACAAGGTTTTATCACACTATAAACTGCCTTGTAAGGTCTGGTACCAATCCTGGGGCTATACCTTTTTAACAACCACCTGTAGCAACAACATAAGGCTCATTAATAGCCATCACTCAGTCTCTAACTGTTCTGAAGCAATACTTCACATGAATATGGAGGGAAGGGATACCATGCCTGGGATGCACTGAAGGGAAGGGATGCCATCCAGAGAGACCTTTACAGGATCGAGGGGTGGGCCTGTGCAAACCTGATGAAGTTTGACAAGGCCAAGTGCAAAGTCTTGCACATGTGTCGGGGCAATCCCAAGCACAAGTACAGGCTGGGCAGTGAATGGATTGAGAGTAGCCCTGAGGAGAAGGACTTAAGGGTGTTGGCTGATAAGAAGCTCAACATCAGCCAGCAATGGGCGCTGGCAGCCCAGAAAGCCAACCATATCCATGCCAACCAAAGAAGCATGGCCAGCAGGTTAAGGGAGGTGATTCTGTCCCTCTACTCTGCTCTCATGAGATTCAACCTGGAATACTGCGTTCAGCTCTAGGGCTCCAACATAGAACATGGAGCTGCTGGAACGAGTCCAGAGGAGGGCCACGAAGATGATCCGAGGGCTGGAACACCTCTCCTATGCAGACAGACTGAGAGAGTTGAGGCTGTTCAGCCTGGAGAAGAGAAGGCTCTGGGGTGATCTTATTGCAGCTTTCCAGTACTTAAATGGGGCCTACAAGGAAAGCTGGAGAGGGACTTTTTCCAAGGGCATGTAGTGATAGGACAAGGGGCAATGGCTTTAAACTGAAAGAGGGTAGGTTTAAATTAGATGTAAGGAAGATATTCTTCACTCTGAAGATGGTGAGGCCGTGGAACAAGTTACCCAGAGAAGTTGTGGATGCCCCATCCCTGGAAGTGTTCAAGGCCAGGCTGGATGGGGCTTTTGGCAGCCTGTTCTAGTGGAAGGTGTCCCTGCCCGTGGCAGGGGGGTTGGAACTAGATAATTTTTAAGGTACCTTCCAAACCAAACCATTCTATGATTCTATGATAACATCAAAGCTCTCAACGATCTTTTCAGGTCTTTAGTCACCTTCACCTTCTGAGGACTGAGGTAAGCCAAAGTGATATAGAGAGCAGGATGACATTTCTCAGGTTATTAATGCTTTTTCTTTAATAGTTGACTCCTGAAAATATTGAAAGAAACAAAAAAGGGTTAACTTAACTTTATTACATTTTAACACATGAAGAAACCTCACTGCACATTTTCTCTGTTATAAGATGCAAATATTTCCTCTCAACTGCTTGCTGACTACTGTTACAAGACCCCAGAGTTGGCAAAAATGCTCAGCACACAAAATCTTCCAACCAGGCACATAAAATGAAATGAGGATGCAAATTTTCAAAATAGATCAGTGGACAGCAACTCCCCAGGAGAAACATAATTCTGATGGGTGCTGGTCACATGAAAATATAATCCTTTCATTTAAATGCCTGAATGGCAGCCTGGCTGCATGTGCAAGATGAAAGCGTGTTGGAAAATTCCTGACACTTGAGAGCCTGACTGGTAGATTTGTTCTAATGAAAGCATTTATCTCCTTGAGAACTGTGTCTTTTAAAAAGTTTAGTGCCACACACTACAAGGTAACTAAACTGATCTTTTACGATTTGAACTTGATTAGCTGGGTAAGCTGTTTCCTCTAGACTGTTCCATTTCCCATCACTGTCTGTGCCAGCATCAAGACAAAGAAGACGCTGTCAATGCAGTTAATATTTTGCAATGTTGTGAATTCAATGCTACTCTCATTAGCTGGGGTGTCTTACCAGATCTATGTGACATTTGAGGCTTTTCATTGGGCTCCGCTATATTTTACATGGAGTTTAGGACACCAGTCTCTGTAGCCACCAACTTGAATGGCTTGGCAATAGTTTATCCAAGAAACTGACTCTCTTTTATGCTGCCACTACTGCAAACCACTCGGTCCCTCTAACCGCAAGAAGGAATTAGCTCACCTCTCTAAAAGCTCATGACTTCCAATCTTTCATGTCCCCCCTTGATAAGACAGAGATCAACTTTGATTTCCTGGATGTGTTGTTAAAGCTGGCCAGTACTGAGAATGTATTTCTAGAGGCTTAAAAGGAATTCACCTTCTGTTCAGATTTAGCAGAGGCTGACATGAATATGTTTCCTGGAGGACTATTTTTGCGCTGCTGAGAGGTCACTGTAAGTTTAAATATCAGGGTACTTTAAGCTCTTATATAGGCATTTTTAATTTTGCTTATATCCAAACACAACTACATTGCTTTTAAACATTCTGAAAACACTAGATATTGCAAAACATATCACAAGCTCTGTTTCAAAGAGTATTAATTAGCTTGCTCTTTTACTTGAACTATCTGGTTTAGTGTGGTAATTGAAACAGGCCAACAGTGACCTTGAATTATCACTTGTTAAGCTGAGAGGCTCCAGGCAGGAATAGGTCTCCATCATGCTGGTGGGATGTAAAAATCAGTCAGCCTTTGCTTCAGAGGCTCAGCCTAAATATACCAAAGTGTTCAAGAACCTTAGAAACCTAAAATTCATAAAAATTTCATGGGTCTTAGACTGCCATATATCCTAATAAGACATAGGTGCTTATAAAATGTCCCAAGGCCCTGCTGTAGTGAAACCCGGGTCTAAAGAAGTTGAGAACACAGTACAAAGGAGGAGGAGGAAGATGATGTTGCAAAGGTTAACAAAATGTACACTTAGGAGGTTATGTGTGGTTTAGATTCTTACTCTTAACAGTTTCTGAACCAGAGATTTTGCTTAATCGAAAGCAAGAAAATTGTTCATTAGTGAGTATGTCTGTACTATATTGTGCTATAACTTCCCTGGTATTTTCAGGTTCAGCTTGCTGTGTATTGATATTTAAAAATGCCAACACAGAACCCCATACTACCTTGTTCTTAAAAGGGCAGTGATAGACTTCAAATTATCCTAAATTCAACCGACTGATCATAAGGATTTCCATCAAATGGCTTTTTTAAGACAACATTCACGTCAGCAATCAATTATGAACCCCAGATTTAGATGGTGCCTTTTTGTAAACAAACAGGTGCATACATATCCTTTAGCATAGCAAGACTCAGTAAGTTTGTTTACAAAGTAGTTTGCAATAAATCTTGCAGGTAGTTTGCTTTTCCTTCTGAATGCAGCACCAGAAATACAGTTCGCTACTGTTACTTCTGAACAGGGTCCTGTTTGACTTCAGTGGGACTGGGAGTGTGTTAACCGTTTGCTGGTGGGACTGCAAGATTTACTACACAAGCTTAAACTGGAAAAAAATAAATCCTTTGCTGGTACAGGATCCTGTTCTATCATATTCAGAATAATGCTTGCCTGGAAGACACTAGCATTTCCCATTGTAATTTTCAGATTATAAATTACTTAGTATAATTTATAACATTTAAGTGCAACCAGCTATCATGCGTTTTTTACATCTCAATTAAATACCAATATTGGAAAAGATTTACGCTTTGTGTTAGGAAACAAAGAGAAATAGAACTACATCCCTTAAAAACGTAAATGTCAAGTCAAATTTCCAGATTGTCTTATACCTTCCAAAGCAGATTCATCTAGTTTCTATGGCCATATCTGTGGGTCAGCTCAAAGAGAAATATGGAAGAAAACATTCTTCCAAGAAAGTGTGTATATAAGGATTCTGTGGAGACATCCCAGAATTTTGGGATTACAGACATTAAGGAGCACTTTGTCACTGGAAAGTGAAGGATTGTTCTTTTCTCCTTTCTGTCATCTTCTGTCCCCATCCCGATTCCCTACCTTCATGCTGGAGTGAGGCATAACATCAAACTCTCCCAGACCCAATACCCCCACGTCTGCTACTTCTGTCTCCCCCTACACTGACACCCAGTGTTTAGCAGCTAAGGTGTTCTGCTCAGGGCACCTAAGGTAAAAACAATTGTACAAAAATACTTTAAAAAGAAACTTGGTGTGAGTTTTAACCTAAAACCTGACATGTCTTAGAAACAATACACCTACAACATCGCTACTTTAAAAGACACCCACCCCCACGGAGATGGAAACAGAATGGTTTTAAAGGTTTTCAAATGTCCTACGTCTTAGGTGTGAAATTGGTAGCGAATCAGTTGGTGTGAATGATTTTATTTGAAAGGACATTGCTCTAAGCTTTCTAATTCTTCACATGCTCTTTGTAAAAATGTTTATATAGAAGATGATGGCCTTTCCATGCTATGCAGTTACAATTGCTTCAACAGATCACTGCACAAGAGAAGTGAACTCCTGCCTAATGAAAGCTGGCCTACTTGGAGCTCCTCCAATGCCCTTTTGCTAAATGTAAAGTTCATAATATTAATCAGGCAACTGCTTATACCGGGGATCAAGTGAACATTTTCTGAAATTACAGCTGAGTTTTGTCAAAATGTTAGCTTTCCTTACCAAGAGCATTCCGAACGTCTGCTTGCTATCTCCCATTCTAACATCTAAATAACAAAGCCCGTTCAGTAGGCAGCTCCATGGGGTTGTACAGCGCCTGCAGCCCCAGCTGAAAGAATATCAGTGCAGGAAAGAAACCACAAGGACTCAGCCAAATTTAAATTCAACACACCACAAAAAGTGTTCCTAGGGAAGGGCAAGCTGTGCCAGTGAAAGTGGGTTGCATATTGTAAATTTTGGTGGCAAAGGAAAGGCTTCCATTCAAGCCTCTCTGGGATGCTGGCACGGGTTTTGCAGTCGTGCTCTGCAGGGGAAAACGGCTGGTTGGTCTGTTTACAGCAGATTCACCAGCCCCTACTTTCTGAGTTCTTGAAAAAAAGGCTCCTTCACTCTCTGGTGAAAACCATAATCTGCAGGATGCAGAGGATGGGCTGCTGCCTATTGAACAGTCAAACTCTACATGACCAAAATTCTGCAGAAAAATATTGCTTCTACTGGCATCTTCCTAGCACAGATCAGGATCACCTGAAGAGCATTTTCTAAGAAATCTTTTTCCTTTGTAGCCTTCCCCAGAAGTACAAAGGTATCTATCTTCCTGGTGGAACTGAAATTCAGAAGAGTAGGAGGCAGAACCGAGATTCAGAGGTTCATCCAAATCTACTCTGCTTTTTTCTCCTTGGAACATTATCCTCCCAGCGTATAAGAGACCTCAGGCAACTACTTTGATTCTCCCATCCTTTCTGGTTCAGCTTCAGTTGCTTTTATTCTTCACAATTCTATTTATTTCTTCCTTCTTCCATTTCCTACATTCTGAAGGCAAAGCTGCTGTTTCCTGTCTTTTTCCTGTCAGTGAGTGACTCTTTCCCCTAGTCCATACCAACAGAATTAAAATAAACAAATCAGAAGTGTAAGTTTTATATTTGACTTCTAGCAATCTGACCAGTTTGTTTATGTGCTGTATCCCTTTTCACTTTTACACTGTCTGCTGAGACTGTGAAAACTCTCCTCTTCAGAGCAGGGACTGTACTGTGTTTATCACAGAACTAAGCACAGCTCCTAGCTGAGTCTGAAGAGTCCTCTCTAATTTGCTAAAGAAAATATCTGAGAATAGTATGTCTCTCTCAGTGCAAAATAGTCAATGTGAAGTTCAGTACATCAGAGCATACTGATAAAATATCTAAATGCATTTGCCAAATAAAATAGTTGCCTATCGTAAGCCATCCAAAAATATCCTCTTAGCTAGGATCCTTGTCAGTATAAACATTCTGATGAAGCAAAATAATTTAGAGTTACAATTAAAAAAACTGGAGTAAGCAAAAGATACATAGGAAACATAATACTAAACCTATCCCAAAAGATTGTGCTATCCAAGGGGATCTAGAATATTAATTAGTAAGTTGTTGCAAACCTATAAAAAATCATCCCATAATTACTCTGAAAAAAGTTGCAATTTCAAAGCTACACTGCAGAATAGCATACTGGATTAATTATGCCAGACTGCAGCAATAACCTTGAATTAAAGCTGCAACCTTCTATTTTTAAGAAACAATTGCCTTTCTGGTTGATGAAACCTGTCGTCCCATCAGGTAACAGACGTGACCAGGAAAGAGAAAAGCGATAATGAGTCAATCCAAGCTGTTTGATACATTTCAAATCTTCCTCCCACAGAGTGTAGCTGCCACAAGCTACATCACCAGTCTGGTTCTTGAAAACTCGATCTCCTCCCTGATGGGTGAATGTGTCCCAGACATTAGGGCCCTTTCCATCTGCATTCCAGCCTTCTGCTCGAAAAACAAAACTTGGTCATTACACTTTTGACATCAAAAGGCATATGTTGAATGTAAATATTTATCACAAAGTAGGCACAAATCTCTCAAAATCCTATGAGCAAAATGAGCACTGTTCCCTCCCAGCTTATATAATTTAAAATAATTAGGAACTTTTGAATGATAGTATATATTTGCATTAGGTTTTGCATTTATTCGTATTTTGCTTGCTGCTGAGTACTTGAAAATCCTGTTTTAAAAAGCATTCAGAGTTCTGACACTCTTCATACTTCCTTAGCCAGAAATCAGATGTTTGCAACTCTTGCGATATTACAGGTTTTCACAAAGGGCATTTTCTAATGCAACTTCCATCCATAAATGTAAAAGATCAGTCCATATCAAAGAAAGCCTTCAGGGTATGAGAAACACTTCCAACAAATAGGCACTTATGGCTTTCTGGATGTCCTTTGAAAATCCTGACAGTCTGTTAAAAAGAAAGGAATGCCATTATGAGCCATGGCCCTAGGCATATACAAGCTGAATTAATAACACAGCTCTGCAAAACTTCTGCTTTTTGCTTAGCCAAACATTAACAGAAATGAATTTTGAATGTTCAAAACCCCTGCACCATTTTCTTTACTTTCACAGTTTTGGGAAATTTCTTTGCAATTCCCAAATTGAGATAGACAGATTAGCTTTAAAATATTCCAAATTTAGGTGGTGTTTGAGATCGCAGTACTAGCATCACATAGTATTTAAACCACATAAATGCACCTTTCTTCATAACAAGCTTCTTTGTCTTTCCAGAGCAATGCTGTAGCTGAGACAAACATTTCATTTTAATGTGGAGAGCTCTGTAAACTTACACCCCTGCAAAGTGTGATTTTATCATAAAATTTCAGATAATCCCAAAATGGCCAACCTCATTTACCAGCAAGATGTTTCAGAGCCCCAGTGAATGTAATGTTCCAGGGTTACTCTTTAAAAACTTAAATGACATTGTGTGTTAAAATCGTGTATAAATTAAATATCAGTTGGGTTGTAAGATTAATAACTATATAATAGCTACATATCAATCCTCAATAAAAGTGTTTTAATAATCAATTAGTATCATAGAAATTAGAGATGGAGGAGAACTATTAGGAGGTCATTGAGTCCATCCCCTGCCAACACAAGATTGCTCCCTTAAGTATATTCAGTACTTAATACACATCTGTCTTATTAAATCTAAGTTTAATGCAAGGTTAAGCATATTGAAGACACTTAATTTAAAGCATTACTAAAATTTGTAATATCACTTCTATAACCTAGCTTTTCAAAGATCATTGTCACATTTCATGTTCTTTACAGAATTTTATTGCAGCACATGAACACCGATACATCTACATTTGGTTGGTCAGTAAATTATACTCTTATATGGGACAACCTTCAAAGTAGGTCAAATTTTAGATCCAGACAGTTCGAGTTTTTCTTAATCTCCGATTTTATCACAGACTTTGTGCTCTCTCTGTACGCCCCTCGGAAAAATATAGTAGTAAAAGTTTTCTATAGCCTGCTTCTGATTTCGAATATGCCTGCCAAAATAAATAGTCATTTTAGAGGAGGGCAGGAAATAACAAATAACAGTAATTCTTTGGTGGTACCTAGAATTTAGAAGCCGTTAAGAGGAGGCTTCCTGCATCTTTTTCGCCATGGTGGGAGTGAAGGGAAGACAAAAGCTGCCATAACAGGCAGCTAACACACCTTCATTTAAAAATCAGCAGCTAGCCCAGATATTGAATGATTCCTTTTTTGTCTGCCTTCCCCCAGCAAAGGAGGTGGGAGGGAAGGAAGGAGGGAGAGACGCATTTGATTTTCAGCAGCGTATGACAGTACTACTCCAGTGGTCATTAGCCACTATAAAGCCCTGACGGGGGGCTGTGGCAAACAGACCCACTTCCAAGCATTCCTCACGTCGTTCAAAGAGCCCCTCCGTACAGCGCAGAGTATCCGAGCCAGCTAAATAAAGTGTAGGAAGCAATCTAGCCAAGGCAACAGAAAGCTCCACAATCACTAAGGTATCCTGCTGAGCCACAATTAGCCTGCACAGAGCTCTGCTCTGCTTCAGTGAACTGAGCTCGCACCTCTGAGCTCGCTTGGAAACCTCCACGCGACACAGCCATCACGGTGTAGACATATCCTGAGTTTTAGTGAGTGTCAGGGCCGGGAAGGAACCATGAAGAGGAACTGATTTTACATTTCAAACACATCGGTGGGACTTAGCTACCAAACGACCACATAACGTCATCAAATGATTATTAATATAAACCATCATGAAACATGATGCATGTTCCCTATTCTCTGCAATTATTACAATGGAGTAAGATAGAACGCTTTTCCATTTAAGTGAAGCTAGTGAAGCAGGAACGGTACTGATCAGAGTATTTAAGTTTTCATGTACTTTCCCAAGTTAGCTTTTCTTCTAATGCAGCTGTGCTTTCACCTTGCGGAGTGAAATTTTCTTGGCCTGGTCTCTGCCCAAAAGGTGAAATTTTGTTTGAACTAATGCAGTTCAACTATTTGGCATATGAAAGAGGTGAAGAAAACCACTTTTACCATTCTGAGAATTTTTTGCAACTTTTCCCTCTCTTGCTTGCAAAAAAAAAAAAAAATCAAGCAGAGAGTTGAAATTTAGCATAGAAATGGCCCTCAGTAAGAAGAAGTGCTTTTGAGTGTTCTGGTGCAAATTGATTTTGATTTGACTGAGTCATGAACCTTTGAAATCTGCACTTTGAGCATGCAGAGTACAATTGGTATGATTTTTTAGCACTTTGAAATATAGAGAGTGGAGAAGGTTGTGCTGTGCATAAATACATAGCTGACAGTAAAAAATAAAGTAGCCTGTCAGCCCTTGCCTCATCCACTGTGTATCTTGTGATATGTGCAGCAACTGAGTTTGGTCTCTACAAGAACTATTGCTTCAGTCATGCTGCCTCTAAGTTGGAAGCTGCACAGCTTCCAAAGCTTTCAGGAGGAGGAATTCCCTGTTGAGTTTCTTACTTCTGTGGGAAAAGGGTCATTTGAGTAGCGTCTAGACCACATTATAGATTTTTTTTTTTATATTTCTCCCACTAAGAAGCCTTAGGAAAGCTCATTAAAAATGCATTAAGAGAACATTAAAGTTGCACATCTAGCCACTCAAAAGGCAGGAAATTATAATGTCATTCTATAGGCACACACAATTTACATTTTAAAAATTAGTTAGTAGAGCAATGCTCATTGCAGGACTGGAGTTAGAATCTGGCCCAGAATATTGATTCCCTGGGAACAGTGAGCTGTTCAGTCTATTAGGTGAAGCTAACTGAGCTCGTTTAAAAGGTACCAAGCACGGGCAAGTACTCTCGCTTTCAGCAATAACCAAGAACTGAAGGCTACATCCTCAAAGACAATTTTAGATCTACAGCTCCCATTTAGGTACTGAAATCAATGGGAGCTAAGTGCCTGTATGCTGCAGTGTATAATATGAGAAAATCAGATCTATATGTATTTTAAAGGTCTCTAAATGCACATTTATGAAGGGACAAAGGTAGGGGGGGTTATGGCTTGTAGCTCTAGAGAAAGGAAATACTCAAGCACTAGTTGGAAAATTACTTATTTCTGCTTCCCCCCCTCCACTTTCAATAGCTAGTGAAAAGTTTCTCCTCCATTTCCATTACTCAGACACATTTCTGAAATTTGAAACATCTTTTATCCACTTCTTACTGCTCAGGCCAGGAGTATTTAAACAGAACTGCTACACGGATTTGAATCAGATGAAGCATCTAGGTAATGAGGCAAAAATCAAACACTCTTCTTCCTGGATCCAGACTTTTCATTCACTTAAAACTTCCTTAACACTTTGATAGCTACAAATTGACACCTTCAATTTGATATGCCGCTGTAGCTGCACCCCAAGCAAATCCAACTGGAAAAGCAATATCCTCTGGCACCAGCTGCAGAGGACAGGCGAACACCCAGCATTATGCGATGCCATGGAGATGCGGGCTTCATTTGCAGACAATGGTTTTTGGCTCGATCACTCTTCCACTTGTTACAAGCAGGTTCTATACTGAAGACAAAAATAAACCCTGTGCAGCTTCACACACTGAAGGGCAAGCCATGCACTTTGCATATCTCAAGATTAAAGCAGAGAGTCAGCTAACAGTGAAAGTGGGAAAGGCAGCAGTGGAAAAGCCCAGGGAGGTCACAGTAAAGGGGCTCCACCTAGTACAAAGCATTAGTACAGAGAACAGATCCCTGTTCCCCTTTGCTTCCCTCTCACCTCCCACTTCCTAGCCAAGGACTTCATGGACCCCTCTATTTAACCTAAATGCTTTAGCCACCAGGCAAAAAGTCATTTCCAACCCTTTCAGTAAGCCTCAAAAACCAGCTGCACCTCTTCTTTTCTAGCATCATGTTTACATCTTCTCTCTCCTAACATGAAATTAATTGGCCTACAGTGGATGAGAAAGGATGTTTTAGCCATTACATGTTTAGCAGTGGAAATCAATGAGTAGAAGAGGAAGATTTGTATGAGGGTACAGACAGAACATCTATCTTTCTCCTTCTGTAAACTCCATGGATGCTCATTTTATCAAGAGTAGCAATGACAACCTTATGGCATGTGTGCCAGAATAAGCATCTGCAAAAGAGCCCTCAGGTCTCTTCCTCTACCTTCTGTCAATGCTGTTACTGTTCTCCTGTCAGCAGGCTGGAAGGGAGCAGCAGGAGGAGGAGAGTCTGGGTACGGCCGTAACAGGTGAGGTGGGCTGAAAGTTGTTTACTGTCCCTTCCCAGCAAACCACAACACTTGGTGCACTAGATGGCACTACTGAGGCTTTTTTATTTTTTTTTTACTTACACGAGATTTTTTGCCAATTTATTATAATATTTCAGCGTGAATTATAAAATTTACACTGCTTTTGTCAAGGTCACTATCTGCACGTATAGGCAATAATGTATGACCACTACTATTTTTTATTCTTCTGTACTCTTCTTGAACCTTTTTGATTTTGAAATCTTTCTGGGTGAGGACCTACTCCTGCAAAGCAGTATACATATAAGTGATATTTTCTCTGATAACAAAGATAAGACAAACCTTAACATATACAGAAAAGATCACTCATACAGTTAATGCACGTACTTTTGCCAGAAATACATACAATGAAAGTGTCAACTTATTAGGAAAAAAAAAAAAAATCCTTAGTAGAGATGCAGACAAACTGATTTAATTCCGAAGTTGCACATCGCAGAACCAGACAGTGCCGATGTAATGCAAAATAAATCAGGCTTTCACAGCAGGCATGCATTTCCTCAAGTGTCTTTCAATGGAAAGGTAAAAGCCCCTTGAATACAAAGGAACAAAGGGGGAAATGAGACGCAACATACCAACTTGTTCCCAAAACACACGCTGACGCATGGTCTAGGCAAACATACAGATCCCTTATGTTTTTGTACAGATAACTAAAAGCTGATGCAATGAACTAGTTAATGTTCTCTGGTTGAAGCAGCCTCCTCAGGCTTTCATTTACAGGAAGGTAAGCATTGGACAGTTAACAGTAAAACTCATCAGGGACATCTTAAATCAAGATTAATAATGTTAATGAACCAGAGTAATTATGCATATTTTTACATCATTAAATGTTATTGGTAGGTACCTTCGAAAATGTAAGTGACATTAAATCTTTTCCCAGAAAAATCATACAATTCAATTCCACAAGAGATATAATAAATATGTAACTCAATAATAGGGGGAGAGGGGCAGACAGGAGACAGTAGCAATAAAAACCCAATAAAAAGTTTCATAATAACGCTTAACCATAAAAACAAGGCTAAAAAGTGTCACTGCCGATTCCCTGGCAGGAATCAACAGAGACAGAGATGAGTTTTAGGAGAGATTGAGTGGGAGGAAAATATTCCATAAGCAGTCTGGGGAAGAGTGAACAAAATTTGCCACAGAGGTTAAGGTAGATTCACAGTAATGAGATAGCAGGCAATGTCAGATAAGTAGGCAGATACTGAAAGATGCAGAGCTTCAAAATTCAGAGAAGCTGCATTTATAGCAGCTAATCTCAAACTCTTCCGGCAATTCAATTTCTAGATTTGTGACCCCACTTCTAGTTGTATTTCTGGACTCATGAACCCACTCCTTGTTGCAGTAGCAGGACTTATAATTTTATTTCCATTAGACCCACTGCATGTCATGGCCTCTAGGATGCACCTGCCTTCTTACTCATATAATTTTCTCTACATCTAATAAATAACCTGACCCCAATCTGTATGTCGGTATTTCACTGTTCCATTGTTTTTGTTAACACATGTAAGTACAAAACTATAAGAGATCTCAGCTCTACCTAGAGGCAATTTTTCGCTATACTAGATTTAGAGTTTTTACAGTTGCACTGACAGAGACTATATGTAACTAAAAGAGCTCAAGCCAAGTATGCCTAGGAAAAATCAAGCAGTTCTTGGATATCCAAATGTATTTGGACAAAGATATTTCTGGCAAGTCAATAAAGACCAAGAGTAATTTGCCCTGATGCTAAGGGTTGGCAGCCTAACTTCACAAAATGTTAGGTAGTGTATATTAACTTGAAGGATGAACAGGCTTTGGTGCTGGGCCCTTAAGTCATGATTAATTATTATCAGAGGAATTGTATCTTGTCAAAAAGAGTTTTTCCTGACTGAATCAGTGTTTCTTAATGACATATTATAGATATGTTTAATAGTATTTACTACAGAATTTAGAAATTAATCTTTGAAGGGGTTGTGAAAATTAAAATATCTTTCCTGAAATTTTACACTGTGCAAGAACAGAAGAAGGATATAGCTGCTTCTGAAGCAAGACTGTACATCTCTGAAACCGTCAAAAGTAAAAGTTCACATATTCTGTGAGTTGTCTTTGAAATTGTTGCTCATAAATTTAGCTTCCCTCCCCAGTAACATAATGGAACAGCTATTGAGAAAACAAATTTACTAAAATACTTTGAAGTCTGCCAGACAAACTTGATTTTTTAATAGTAATACAAAATTAATGAATAGAGAGCAAAAGCTATACTGTCACTTCTGAATTTTAGTAGTACACTCTTTTCTTTAGGATATTTTAGCACTGAGCTTAAAATGTTCTCAATTAAATTATGGAGATAGTTTCCGTCTTACACTGTGGCTGCAGTAGAGGGCTCCTAACTTTGATCCTCTAAATTGAACCTTAATTAGAAGCCTCTGCTGGATTGTTGATTAGCCTTTCTTCTCCCATCTCCAATGTGTCAAAATTCCGTTCCCAAACTTAAATCAAATTGGAAATGAACTATCATGTTGACTGAAATGAAGGGTGATGACAAACAATGAAGGGTAATGATAAACAATAAGTTTGAAGGGAGGCATTTAGTGCGGTACACAAAGATTAGTATTACTTCTGATCTCATTTAATAGCTTCAATAATGAGCTAGAAGAGGGAGTAAATGGTACATTAATGAAATCTGCAGATCTATTAAACTAGGAGGAGCTGAACACACTGCTAAAAATGAAGAAATAATACAAGGGGTCATGGGAAGATTAGAAACACAGAATATTGCAATGAGATTCAGTTTAGAAAACAGAAGAATAATATTTGGGTAAAAAAAAATCAACAGATGGTAACAGGTAAAAATCTGGAGAGCTGTAATGCTGGAAGAGATTTAAAATTAAGAACATCAGGAAAACTACGCAAGAACCTGTAAATGAGCAGCAGAGAAAACAGTGAAAGTTGGGCAAAACTATTAAAAAATAAGCAAAGAAGTAGTGACTAATCTCAAAGCAGCTCTACAACCATCAGCTATCTTTTGCATTTAGTCTGGGCACTGGAAAGACAGACTATCAGTCAGGCGGTTAGAGGTTTTGCAGCTATGGAATTTTTTCCTGGAAGAAAACTTAAAAGTAAGCCATCCATTTAACAAACAGAGTGTTGTCCTTCATGAAGTGAATGACTTAACAGTAAGCCATTGGCTAAAAGACTGTAAAAGAGCATGAGACTGAAGAAATAAAATATTCTCCCACTGCTTCTGGTAATTGCATCATGCAGCTTGAATTTTTTGATATCGCTGAGGAAACTGCCGATGTAACGCCAGCTGCTATGTGCTTTCAAATACCAGATATATGTGCACAATATCTTGGAGAGCTAACGCTAGTTGTGAGCAAGTTAATTCCAGTTGAGGAGCTCACATGAATTAATCTTGCTGGGAATAACTCTACACAAGCTATAGCAGAGTGCCAAACTAGTGTTACATCACTCTCTGTACCAGAGACAGGTTCGGCAATTCTGCACGGCACAGCATTAGGATGTATCGTGTGTATGTAAAGTGATATTCCATATTGGTCATCAGTCTTCAAAAGTCCTTGGTAGCTCTTGGCTGCTGAAGACATTGCCCTTTATTGCTGAGTGCCTCCACACAGTATTTTTAAGTAGGCTTAACCGCTCAGGAGTTTGTCACTGTCACTACGTTGTGACTCAACACTGAGTGTGCAGAGAGCAAGGCATTGATCCACAGCTTTAAATTTGCACACTTCAGTAGAAAACCTGGCAAAAGCCCTTTCATGTAAAACCATGCTCTATTCATTTATATCTTGGCATGTCCTGACGTTCCACGCTTCTGGATTGTTCACCTTCTAAGTGAACAAGCTTAAAAACAATATGAGCCATCAGACAAAAATGTCAGAATAAAAAAAGAATTTATGTAGGAAAATCAGCATAAAAAAATATCAGAAGCATAGACAGATGCCCTGGTCCCTTGTAAATGCAACTTGTTTGCTGAGATAGTGCCACTGAAATAGTTGCCCACTGATGTTTGGGGAGGGCTGCCTACATTTTCCAGAAATCGAGAGTTTCAAGACATCTGTAGAACCACCTACTGGCAAACATGCTTGATATGATTTTGCCAGGAAAATATCTGCTGTACCTAATCAGAATGGCTGCAAC